CTGTTATTTTCTGGTATTTTACAAATTTTTTAAACCTTTCCCTATCAATTTCCACGGGTCTTTTGTGCTTTCTTGTCTGTTTTATTTGGCCCCCAAATCTACCGGAGCGCAAAAAATTTCGATACATCCCCGTTTTTTTTTCCTTTAAACCCTGGGTTTGTCTTCCCCAAAACCACATTTTTTTTTAACTTTCCCTTTCCCCTTGGGGTGTCCCTAATAAGGAATTAGGGAACACCGAATAAAGTATCATCAGAACGAGGAACGCAGTCCTCTTTCTCAGTATCCAGTGGGGAGCTCCCACACCGATGGTCTCAAGTTTCAAATTGATTAAAAGTTCGCCTGTTTTTTCCCTGTTGTAAAAATAATCTTTAGACTATCTGCTGACTCCTGCTGAACGAGTCTCTCCGGATATGGATTCTCTCTCTTTGATGACGCCCTGTTTGCTGGTTCACATAGAGCCTTTGCCACGTCCGCTTCATGATAAAGTAGCTCACAGTCCAGAAGAGCGACAGCACCTTGTTACAGCGCGTAACACTGTAGAAGTCATAGAAGTAATTATTTTATTTTAATTAAATATTAAACCCTCTGGTTTATTTTTTGATTGTATTTATTATACTGCCATATCTCACAATGGATACCTATGTTTGTTTAACAAATACATTTAGCACTGTTTCGCCGTTGTGAATTTGAACATTAAAAGAGGCAATAAATAGATTGCACAATTTATTGCCTGACATATTTCGCTCTATCTCGTCAGGTGCATACTACTGTAGCAATTATTAAAAATGAAGCAAATAAATGAATCGTTCCAAATGAAACACAAAATGGACTACATCAAAAGTAATTGTTTGTTTAACGAGGGTAACCGCAAGGAGACCACCTGACGACCATGTCGTCTTTTTGGCATAATTATCAACTGAACCGGATTTGCTTCCACAAATCGCAACAATCTGAAGTTTGCAGAGGTGTCAAGAATTTCTTCTTCTTCTTCTTCTTCGAGATCACCGGCTGTAACCTCCGGAAGAAGTTCTGGTTGTTTGTTCACTTCGGAACTATAGTTCTTTTCCAGACACTAAGTGTTACGTGCACATCCGTTTCACAGGTCTGACTCTTTTGCATGCAAACTGTTGGTTCATTTCCTCTCAGGCAGATGTATTTCGACTTCGAAGGAAGCTCCCATTATTCGACGCTTACAACATGCTATTGGGCAGGCGCTGGGTCTATTCTTGTTTTCCACACAATGGGGCCTCAGGAACCTACACGGGGAGTCAAGAATTTGAAATGCACCCCCCTTCTTTACAATGTTCCATGAATTCAAAATATGGCGCGCAATGGCTAACGGGTGATTTGTGCGACCAGACATCTGATCTTTGCTCTTGTTGCAAAATTGCAAAAATAAATTAGTGCACAAGCAAATAGTTAGTGTAAGTTAACCTTGTGTGGGTACGGAACCCCACTGTGAGAAGAGGGGGGGGGGGGGGAGCGAAATATACAATCCATCCCCAACAAGCATGTCGTAGGAGACTACTAATTAGAGTGTTGGCTTGAGATCTTAGTGCATCTGTCAGAGAAGCTTTGTCAGCAGCCAGTTCCAACTCGGATAGTACCAGATGCAGTCTGACTGTTTCCTGTAAGAGTTGACTGACTGCCAGATCCCCTAGCCACTTCCCCCTGCACCATTCACTCCAGGTTGTGATACAACACATGTTGACGTATGTTCACTGAAAGCATATTTAAGCTGTTTGGGGCTGTCCTTCCTAGACAATGTAAAGCTGTCCGCGGGAGACAACAATCACACTCTGTATTGGTACAAATTGCCGGGTGGGCCTAGCTGACCGCACAAGATGAAAGACAGCCAGCGGTTTCTAGAGATGGCCCTTCCGGATGTCCGACAGACGGGTCAGCTGGACAACAACACTGACCTAGCGGTGACCGGCAGGGACGAGGCGCTGGTCAAAATTGAGGTAAGTACACACAGCCACTTATAGATATTTTATATCAAGTAAGAAAATAACCCCCCTCCCCTACCCCCACATTTTTTTAACGTCTGTGGCCTATGGGGCAAATCAAGCTAGACTAAGGCTGACTCCCAGGGTGAACAAACCTACAATGGTTAACTGGTAAAGTCCTAGGCAGTAAAGGCGACCAGTGTGATTTTATACTACCCACTGAGAACACATTTGTGTCTAAAAATGTGAGTTTAGATTCACTTGTGAATTACCGGTGTGATATCGGACCCGTTACTGTGCTTGTGACTTGTGAATTACCGGTGTGATATCGGACCCGTTACTGTGCTTGTGACATAAAGAAAACCTTGTCTGCCCAATCCCAACAAGCAAAATATGTCCATTGTTGGACTTTCCGTCAAATAATACAACAATAGTAATAATATTGTTGGTGGTAGTGATGTACTTGCGAAAACAAATACCAGGAGAAGATAATTAACACAGAATGGGAGGATTTTAAAAGAAGTAACAGAAAAAAGAGAAAAGTCTGAGAACCACTAGCATTAACTGTTATACGGATGAGTGAGAAACGGATGAGTGAGAGAGTGAGTGAGTGACTGACTGAGTGAGAGAGTGAGTGAGTGAGTGAGTGAGTGAGTGAGTGAGTGAGTAAGTGAGTGAGTGAGTGAGTGAGTGAGTGAGTGAGTGAGTGAGATTGTGAGTGAGTGAGTGAATGAGTGAGTGAGACAGTGAGTGACGTTAAACCCTACCTTGACCACACAGTGATCAGTTAACAACCGGTGACGTAGAGTAGTTGTCTCCACTTAGATGAGAATTCGTCAGGCACAAGTGCAAAAAAAAACCCTGTTTAACCCTAAGGTTAAAATACTATGCCCCCCCAACGACGATTACGAGTAATCTGAAGTCTTGTCGAGGTAGGGCTTGAAAATGAAATTAAAAATTGACATGAAGGATTGGGGAAACAGAGGCTTGCAAGAAAAATGCATAGGCAAACTTGATGAGTGGAGCCAAAGGGAACGGATAGGACTTGATTTTATCTTTTAAAAACTAAAAAAAAAGGAAAGGTCCCTTTACGACGCCTTTAGGCATATAGGGCTAGACCCTTTTTTATAGACCAATCGGCACAAGATGGGTGATATGGTCAGCATCACGCCGGCCGCCTTTACTTCCCGGTACCCACTCCTGGCTGGGTCGACTTGGGAGACAAGGCCATTTTTGAAAAAAATCAGGCTCCGCCAGAGAGCGAACCCACGACCTTCCGATCCACGACGAGCGTCTTGCCGCTCCGCCACGACGACTCCCATTTATTCTTTTACAGCGAAGTAATTAGGCAAAATAGAACAGAAGGGAAAAATGAACTGCCAGCCCTATGGAGTGTTTAATGGCAGAATAGGACAATAATTGAACGAATGAGTAGTAATGTTGTTGGCTAAATGGCAAATTACTGTCATAACACATGTGGAATAATATAAAATAAAATAAGCTTAAAAATATACGTGGCAGGGGGAATCTGACTCTGTGCAAATGTACATTTTTTCTAGGAGGTGAAAAATAAGGAGGAAAAGTAGGGAGGTGGGAGAAACTTCAAAATGTCAAAGTCCCAATGTTCAAGCGACCCTGATCAAAGCTTATGATAAAATAGATATATAAGCATGACTGTGTACACGTAGTCTGTGTACAGCGTAGGTTCTGTACAATGTAGGCTGTGTTGAATGTAAGCTGTCTATAACGTGTAACATAGGCTGTGTACAATGTAGACTGTGTACAATGTAGGCTCTGTACAATGTAGTCTGTGTACAACGTAGGCTGTGTACAAAGTAGGCTGTGTACAACGTAGGCTGTATATAACGTATAACGAAGGCTGTGTACAACGTAGGCTGTATATAACGTATAACGAAGGCTGTGTACAACGTAGGCTGTATATAACGTATAACGAAGGCTGTGTACAATGTAGGCTGTGTACAGCATATACTTGTCTATAACGTGTAACATAGGCTGTGTACAACATAGGCTGTGTACAACGTAGGCTGTCTAAAACGTATAACGTATGCTGTGTAAAACGTAAGCATTGTAATCATGCAGTGTGTACATATTTACGTGTTTTACGATCCTCAGATTTTGGTCCAGAGCGTCATCCTGGCCCTGGCAGTGACCGGAAACACGTGTGTACTGGCCGTCCTGGCCAGGAAGAGGAAGGTCACCTCCAGGATGCACGTGTTTATCTTCCACCTGAGCATCGCTGATCTGCTGGTGGCCATCTTCAACATCCTGCCACAGCTCATCTGGGACATTACGGGGACATTCTACGGCGGGGACGCCTTGTGCCGCTACATCAAGTTTATGCAGGTAATCAGACTCAGTCCTTGTGTGCTGGCTTTCAGCTGCAAGTAAACATCAATCAATCACTCCATCCATCACTCAATCCATCAATCAATCAGATGCCATCTGTACAACGAAGGTTAGCTGATATGGATCCGCGACGGTTTTCTTCTATAGTACTTGATGGGTATTCTCTGATTCTGCTGTTGATTCATCTTTTGCTGAAAAATCCTCCCACTTGTATCCCACTAAATACCTCTTGCTTGCCCCTCCTTCAAACTTTCCCTCTAGACTCTCTTTTCTCTAGGAAAATGAAACAATTTTTTTCATTTGTGGTCAAAAATATTTACTTCTTTTTAGTCGTCTCTTCGATAATTATCTTTTAATTATCAATCACTTCAAAACCTATTCTCTGATTTTTTGTTGTTGTTTTGTTTCCATGAAGTACGATTATTTTCTTCTGTAGATCACATCTCAACTCCTTGCAACTCGTTCTCAGTAAATCCAGCCAGATGTGTATAAACTTCTGTTTGGGAGGGCACCGCTCTTGTGTTAACCAGGACTCACACGGAAAAAAAAAAAAAATGCATGTAGAATGAGATGAAACTAAAATAGATTATTCAGCTTCCGTTTTAGAGAAGAAAATTCAAACATACATTAGTCTACAAAAACATGGGATGACGCCTTAAGTAAAACCGTACGATGAAAAACGGTTGATGAGAGAGGCTTTTAAAGCTACAGGGAATTGATTCCATCCGTGTTACTGAACTGATTGCACACGATAGAAAGGGAATGGAAAGCCAGACTGTGAGCCTTATGTGACACGTATAAAGGCACATTCAGGATAGTGAATGGATCCTCTGTGGGTCCATTTCCCGTCCTATTTGGCAACAACACATCAAGTCAGCAAAAAAAAACCTTTTGTTTTCATGCACGGGTGAATTTTTGTCAATGATTATTTGACGTTCAACAACCCCCCCCCCCCGCCCTCCCCCGCATCCCCCCCCCCCCCCTAAGAACACAACTAACGTATTTTAATAAAAGTTTTTAATATAAAGTTGGGAGTCTCCGTGGTGGATCGGCTAGACGCTCGCCGCAGACCAGAAGATCGTGGGTTCGCTCCCTGGCGGAGCCGGACTTTTTTTTTAAAATAACTTTGGCTCCCAGGTCGACCTAGATTTTAGTGGGTATCAGGTGCAGTCCCGCGAAGTAAAGGCGGCTGGTGTGATGCTGACCATATCACCCATCTTGTACCAATTGGTCTATAAAATATACGTCATGCCCTATATTTCCTATACGCCTAAAAGCGTGGAAAAGGGTCCTTAATTTTACTTTTCTTTGAATGTTAGTTGTATCGATGTTGTTGTATCCATGTTGTTGTATCCGTGTTGGTGTAGGATGAGCAAGGCTATCTGCCTGAGGTGTTCATTTTGTCATTCGTGATCATGCTTTTGTTTTGGTTTTAGTTCTACTGTTCGTTCTCTTTGTACTGGAAGGTGTATGTGACAATGTTGATGTCAGAGAGTCTGTTGTTGTCTCAGTGAAACAGGCGTTTTCTTACAGAACGAGCAAGTCTGAAATTGAAATGTGAAGTCCTTTAGGCAGAGAAATATAAATCACGTGTCTGCTTTCTTTGTTCATGGACTTTTTTCTAATCTTTTGTTCTGCATTTCTGTGATCTCATTGTTCAGTATGGTTTCGATCTTCGTCAGTTTCCTGAGTTTTCATAGAGCCAAGGTTATCATCGTGCTAGAAATGACGTTATCTAATGGGTCGTTATATGTTTTGAACATACAGATTAATCATCATGTTGGCCGTTATGTGTCAATGAATGAAGATATGTCCTTTTCAATGTCTGTATTTGTCGATATGTCTTCTTCAATTTGGGTGTGTGTTGGTGGTTGGAGATAATTTTCTAGGTGGTTATTTGACAATAAATGTCGTTTTCTACATGGTTTTATGTCGGAGAATATATTCTATCAATCTCCTAGATATATGTGATGTATTTATCCACCAACATGTTCTGTATATGCCCACATAAATACGATGCATTTATCCACCTATGTGGTCTATCTATTACCGGATATATGGGATATATTTATCCACCTATGTGGTCTATCTATTCTCAGATACATGGGATGTATTTATCCACCTACATATTCTAATAATCCCCAAGATATGTGATGCATTTATTCATTGTCATATTCTGTCTATCCCCCAGTTATATGCGATGTATTTATCCACCTATGTGGTCTATCTATTCCCAGATATATGTGATGTATTTATCTACCTATGTGGTCTATCTTTCTTAGATATATGTGCTGTATTTATCCACCTACATTTTCTGTATATGCCCACATATATACGATATATTTTTTCACCTATATGGTCTATCTATACCCAGATATATGGGATGTATTTATCCACCTATGTGGTCTATCTATTCCCAGATATATGTGATGTATTTATCCACCAACATGTTCTGTAAATGCCCACATATATACGAAGTATTTATCCACATATGTGGTCTATCTATACCCAGATATATGGGATGTATTTATCCACCTATGTGATCTATCTATACCCAGATATATGGGATGTATTTATCCACCTATATGGTCTATTTATTCTCAGATACATTGGATGCATTTATCCACCTATGTGGTCTATCTATTCCCAGATATATGGGATGTATTTAACCACCTATGTGGTCTATCTATTCTCAGATACATGGGATGTATTTATCCACCTACATGTTATATCAATCCCCAAGATATGTGATGTATTTATTCATTGTCATATTCTGTCTACTCCCCAGATTTATGCGATGTATTTATCCACATAATATGCTGTCAGTCTCCCAGATACATGTGATGTATTTATCCACCTACATGTTATATCAATCTCCCAGATTTATGCGATGTATTTATCCACATCTAACATCCATGAATGAAGAATGTAAAACAAAAAATATGAGAATCAACACTGAAAAGACAGAAGTAATGTCAATAGGAAAAAAAAGAAGACAGATCTAAACATAACAATAGAATACAAAGGCATTAAACAGGCATCTGAGTTTAAATATCTGGGAACTACATTTACCGAAGATGGGAAATTGGATAAAGAAATGGACATTAGGTGCAGTAAAGCAAACCAAGCATTGGGACAGCTAGCCCCCCTCTTACAGCATAAGACAATCCCAATCAGCACAAAGAGACATCTTATTCAAAGCATATTTATTCCAACTCTGTGCTACCAGTGCCAGGACATGGTCACTCACAAACAAACCATAAAAGAAAATTAGTAACCACGGAAATGAGATGTCTGAGAAGGGCTGTAGGAGTGACCATAAGAGATAAAGATCAGAAATGAGATCATAAGAGAAACAAGTCGGCACAGAACCAATTCTGGATTACATACAAAACAGCAAGTGAAATGGTTTGCCCACTTAGAGAGAATGCCTTGTGACACCATACCATACAAAGCATACATGGGAAGAGAAGAAGGATGTAGAGCACGGGGTAGACCAAGAACAAGATGGAAGGATAACATCAGAGAAACTCTACAACAGCACGATGTGCCTATGGTCGAGGCAGCCAGAAGAGCTAGAAACAGAACCTTATATCTCCCTCGACACCCACAGCGGTAAAAGAGGAAGTGAAGAAGAAGAAGAAGAATTTATCCACATAATATGCTGTCAGTCTCCCAGATACATGTGATGTATTTATCCACCTACATATTATATCAGTTCCCAAGATTTACACGATGTATTTATCCACCTACATGTTCTATTAATCCCCAAGATATGTGAGGTATATATTCGTTGTCATATTATGTCTATCCCCCAGATTTATGCGATGTATTTATCCACATAATATGCTGTCAGTCTCCCAGATACATGTGATGTATTTATCTACCTACATGTTATATCAGTTCCCAAGATTTACACGATGTATTTATCCACCTACATGTTATATCAATCTCCCAGATTTACACGATGTATTTATCCACCTACATGTTCTATTAATCCCCAAGATATGTGAGGTATATATTCGTTGTCATATTATGTCTATCCCCCAGATTTATGCGATGTATTTATCCACATAATATGCTGTCAGTCTCCCAGATACATGCGATGTATTTATCCACCTACATATTATATCGACCCCCTAGATTTACACGATGTATTTATCCACCTATATGTTAAATCCGTCGACCAGATTTACACGATGTATTTATCCACCCACATGTTATATCAATCCCCAAGATATGTGATGTATTTATTCATTGTCATATTCTGTCTACTCCCCAGATTTATGTGATGTATTTATCCACATAATATGCTGTCAGTCTCCCAGATACATGTGATGTATTTATCCACCTACATGTTATATTAATCCCCCAGATTTACACGATGTATTTATCCACCTACATGTTATATCAATCCCCAAGATTTACACAATGTATTTATCTACCTACATGTTATATCAATCCCCTAGATTTACACGATGTATTTATCCACCTAAATGTTATAATAATCCCTCAGATTTACACGATGTATTTTCCCCCCTACATGTTATATCAATCCCCCAGATTTACACGATGTATTTATCCACCTACATGTTAAATCAATTCCCCAGATTTACGTGACGTACTTATCCACCTACATGTTATTACTATCCCCCAAATTTACGTGATGCATTTATCCACCTACATGTTATTACGATTCTCTAAATTAACGTGACGTACTTATCCACCTACATCTTACCATCATCTCCCAGGTTTACGTGACGTAATTATCCACCTACATGTTATTACCATCCTCTATATTTACGTGATTTACTTATCCACCTACATGTTATTTCCATCCTCTAGATTTACGTGACGTACTTATCCACCTACATGTTATTTCCATCCTCCAGATTTACTTGACGTACTTATCCACCTACATATTATCACCATCCTCTAGATTTACGTGATGTACTTATCCACCTACATGTTATTACCATCCTCTAGATTTACGTAATGTACGTATCCACCTACATGTTATTACCATCTTCTGGATTTACGTGATGTACTTATCCACCTATATGTTACCACCATCGCCCATATTTACGTGTCGTACTTATTCACCTACATGTTATTACCATCCTCCAGATTTACGTGATGTACTTATCCACCTGCATGTTACTACCATCTCCCAGATTTACGTGATATACTTATCCACCTACATGTTACCACCATCCCCCAGATTTACGTGACGTACTTATCCACCTACATGTTACCACCACCCCCCAGATTTACGTGACGTACTTATCCACCTACATGTTATTACCATCCCCCAGATTTACGTGATGTACTTATCCACCTACATGCTGGTAATGACCGCCATTGATCGCTATCGCGCTGTGTGTCATCCACTCTCAGCCTTCAACTCGTCATCCAAAACCACCATCTACGCCATGATTTGGGCCGCATACGTCATTTCCGGCATCCTCAGCCTGCCCCAGCCTATCATATTCAAAATTCAGGAACCAGAAAAAGGCTCCGGGTTGTGGGAATGCTGGGTGAACTTTGACCCGCCCTGGACCATGACCTTGTACGTGATGTCCTTCACACTTGCCATTTACATCGTCCCTCTTGCGCTGTTAATGTTTGCCTACATGTCCATCTGCTGGACAATATGCCAGAAACACAAAACTGCAAAGATGAATCGACCCGGCGTCACCAAGTGTGACGCTAGCTCCAGCAACCTGTCCTTGCCCAGTCGCCATGTGTACAGCAGTTACATGACCACTCGATTGGTGTTGAGAAGCCCGGGAGTTATGGAGCGTCGGTCACATCTCATGGGGCGACACAGATCGGCGGCCTCGACTACTCCTCGGGCTCACTCTTTACGCGGTTTCTCCAGGGCCAAGATGAAGACGGTGCAGTTAACGTTTGTGGTCATCGTGGCTTACGTGCTGTGTTGGTCGCCGTTCTTTGTGTCGCAGTTGTGGTGGCTGTATGACGTCACGCAGGAGAACAGTAAGTAGTAGATAGTCGTGATGTTTTAGTGTCTTTTGGTGCTGTTTCTATGGTTGTATGCGATGTTGATTGTAGTTTACTATATGTGTGATGGGGAGTCATCATGGTGGAGCGGATAGAAGCTCGCCGCGGATTGGAATGTCGTGGGTTCGCTCCCTGGCGGAGCCAGACTTTTTTCAAATGTGTGTCCTTTAACGTAGATTGTTGAAATTCTGCCAGCTATATTATTAATTATTACATTTGTATTTTTTTTTTTTTTTGCGTTTAGTTTAATTCTATACTTGGTTGATGTTTTATCGAGCAGATTTACAAGCTCGTCTAGTTCTTGTTCTTCTCCGGCCAACCCATCGATGTCATCGGCAAACCTTCAGTTTGTTATAGTTCGGAAAAAAACAAACTTTGAAAGGTGACCGCAAGGAGTTTAAGCTGGTCTAACTGTGTGTGTAATACTCAAACAGATAATAATAATAATTATTATTATCATTATTATCAGCTGAGTGGCAAAAAGATTTTTTCAAAGTACATATTTGCTCTGCTCTCTAGAAATTAATATTAGTTGGGGGCGGGTATAAATATAACAAAAGGGTTAAATGGGGTTTCCTAGACTTTCTTCTGGGCGATCCTCATTCAAATAGTTAGTTTCTGTCACTGCGTGTTTATCGCTCGTTGTGAGGTCCTAGGTGTCTTGATCGTCATTCACTCATCCGAGGAAAAGGGTGGATGGGGTGGTGGGAGATACCTGAATGCCAGGTTTCGGTGCTGATGGTCGAAATTGATAGTTATATTTATCTGTCATTTAACACATTATGATTATTTTTATTATTATTATTTATAATATTATACGATAGGCAACCTAATACAACACTATACTATTATGACTGGTACCGTCGGATTTTAAATTCTTCGCTAACTACTGAAAATCGAGACGAAGTACTTTAGGAAATATCCCATCCCGTGGTGTCGTTTCTCAATTTAGCTAAACCACTAGACTTGTTTTTGATCCACACAGTCAAACGACTGTCAGGGGAGAGAACTCTTGACCTGTTCGATAAAAAAAAATTGTCGAGGGATTATACTGACATCGATCTCCTTGTCCGAACGCATCGATATTACTTAAACTTGCCAGTTTGAAACGATTACTTGGACCATACATCTGTCTTCATGGATTTGTTTGACACTTCGTTCAGCAATGGTTCTAACTACTCTTCGTCGCTATGTCTGCTTGCCGCTCGTCATCACACTGTCCATTTCTTCCGTCATCGTCACACTGAACATGTCTTCTGTCATCATCACATTGTCCATTTCTTACCTCATCATCACACTGAACATGTCTTCCGTCATTTTCACACTGTCCATGTCTTCCGCCATTTTCACACTGTCCATGTCTTCCGTCCTCATCACACTGAACATGTCTTCCGTCATCATCACACTTAACATGTCTTCCCTCATCATTACACTGTCCTTGTCTTCCGTCATCATCACACTGAACATGTCTTCCGTCATCATCACACTGTCCATGTCTTCCGTCATCATCACACTGAACATGTCTTCCGTCATCATCACACTGAACATGTCTTCCGTCATCATCACACTGTCCATGTCTTCCGTCATCATCACACTGAACATGTCTTCCGTCATCATCACACTGAACATGTCTTCCGTCATCATCACACTGAACATGTCTTCCGTCATCATCACACTGTCATCATCACACTGTCCCATTCTTCCGTCATCATCACACTGTCCATGTCATCCCTGATCATGTCATCATCACACTGTCCATGTCTTCCGTCATCATCACACTGTCCACATCTGTCCATGTCTTCCGTCATCATCACACACTGAACATGTCTTCCGTCATCATCACACTGTCTTCCGTCATTATCACACTGTCCATGTCTTCCGTCATCATCACACTGAACATGTCTTCCGTCATCATCACACTGCCCATGTCTTCCGTCATTTTCACACTGTCAATGTCTTCCGTCATCTTCATCACACACTGAACATGTTCCTTCCGTCATCATCACACACTGTCCATGTCTTCCGTCATCATCACACTGTCCATGTCTTCCGTCATCATCACACTGTCCATGTCTTCCGTCATCATCACACTGTCCATGTCTTCCGTCATCATCACACTGTCCATGTCTTCCGTCATCATCACACTGAACATGTCTTCCGTCATCATCACACTGTCCATGTCTTCCACTCATCATCACACTGTCCATGTCTTCCGTCATCATCACACTGTCCATGTCTTCCGTCATCATCACACTGAACATGTCTTCCGTCATCATCACACTGAACATGTCTTCCGTCATCATCACACTGTCCATGTCTTCCGTCATCATCACACTGTCCATGTCTTCCGTCATCATCACACTGAACATGTCTTCCGTCATCATCACACTGTCCATGTCTTCCGTCATCATCACACTGAACATGTCTTCCGTCATCATCATCACACTTCCGTCATCATCACATGTCTTCCGTCATCATCACACTGAACATGTCTTCCGTCATCATCACACTGAACATGTCTTCCGTCATCATCACACTGAACATGTCTTCCGTCATCATCACACTGTCCATGTCTTCCGTCATCATCATCACTGACTGTCTTCCGTCACTGTCTGTCTTCCGTCATCATCACACTGAACATGTCTTCCGTCATCATCACACTGTCCATGTCTTCCGTCATCATCACACTGAACATGTCTTCCGTCATCATCACACTGTCCATGTCTTCCGTCATCATCACACTGTCCATGTCTTCCGTCATCATCACACTGAACATGTCTTCCGTCATCATCACACTGAACATGTCTTCCGTCATCATCACACTGTCCATGTCTTCCGTCATCATCACACTGAACATGTCTTCCGTCATCATCACACTGTCCATGTCTTCCGTCATCATCACACTGAACATGTCTTCCGTCATCATCACACTGTCCATGTCTTCCGTCATCATCACACTGTCCATGTCTTCCGTCATCATCACACTGTCCATGTCTTCCGTCCATGTCTTCTTCCGTCATCATCACACTGATCCATGTCTTCCGTCATCATCACACTGTCCATGTCTTCCGTCATCATCACACTGTCCATGTCTTCCGTCATCATCACACTGTCCATGTCTTCCGTCATCATCACACACTGTCCATGTCTGTCCCATGTCTCCGTCATCATCACACTGTCCATGTCTTCCGTCATCATCACACTGTCCATGTCTTCCGTCATCATCACACTGTCCATGTCTTCCGTCATCATCACACTGTCCATGTCTTCCGTCATCATCACACTAAACATGTCTTCCGTCATCATCACACTGAACATGTCTTCCGTCATCATTACACTGTCCATGTCTTCCGTCATCATCACACTGTCCATGTCTTCATCGTCATCTTCCGTCATCATCACACTGTCCATGTCTTCCGTCATCATCACACTGTCCATGTCTTCCGTCATCATCACACTGTCCATGTCTTCCGTCATCATCACACTGTCCATGTCTTCTGTCATCGTCACACTGTCCATGTCTTCCGTCATCATCACACTGTCCATGTCTTCCGTCATCATCACACTGTCCATGTCTTCCGTCATCATCACACTGTCCATGTCTTCCGTCATCATCACACTGTCCATGTCTTCCGTCATCATCACACTGTCCATGTCTTCCGTCATCATCACACTGTCCATGTCTTCCGTCATCATCACACTGTCCATGTCTTCCGTCATCATCACCACACTGTCCATGTCTTCCGTCATCATCACACTATCCATGTCTTCCGTCATCATCACACTGAACATGTCTTCCGTCATCATCACACTGTCCATGTCTTCCGTCATCATCACATGTCTTCCGTCATCATCACACTGTCCATGTCTTCCGTCATTGTCTTCCGTCATCATCACACTGAACATGTCTTCCGTCATCATCACACTGAACATGTCTTCCGTCATCATCACACTGAACATGTCTTCCGTCATCATCACACTGAACATGTCTTCCGTCATCATCACACTGAACATGTCTTCCGTCATCATCACACTGAACATGTCTTTCCGTCATCACTGTCGTCTTCCGTCACATCACACTGAACATGTCTTCCGTCATCATCACACTGAACATGTCTTCCGTCATCATCACACTGAACATGTCTTCCGTCATCATCACACTGAACATGTCTTCCGTCATCATCACACTGAACATGTCTTCCGTCATCATCACACTGTCCATGTCTTCCATCATTATAACATTGTTAGCGTATTCCAACACCACTACACTGTCCATGTCTTCCATCATTATCACATTGTTAGCGTATTCCAACACCACTACACTGTCCATGTCTTCCATCATTATAACATTGTTAGCGTATTCCAACACCACTACACTGTCCATGTCTTCCATCATTATAACATTGTTAGCGTATTCCAACACCACTACATTGTCCATGTCTTCCATCATTATAACATTGTTAGCGTATTCCAACACCACTACATTGTCCATGTCTTCCATCATTACAACATTGTTAGCGTATTCCAACACTAGTACATTGTCCATGTTCTCCATCATTATAACATTGTTAGTGTATTCCAACACCACTACACTGTCCATGTCTTCCATCATTATAACATTGTTAGCGTATTCCAACACCACTACATTGTCCATGTCTTTCATCATTATAACATTGTTAGCGTATTCCAACACCACTACACTGTCCATGTTCTCCATCACCATTACAAGGCAATGGTTCAGTCATCGTTGCCAGGTCCATATAGTAAGGTCAAGAACCTTTTCCACGCCTTTAGAAGTATTACAAGTTTAGGACTAGACCTATAATTTTATAGACCATCCGGCAGTTGGTGGGTGATTGGTCAGCATCACGCAGGCCGCCTTTACTTCCCAGGACTGCACCTGGTACCCACTCAAGGCTGGGTTGACCTGGAAGTCAAGGTCATATTTGCAAAAAAGTTGAGCTCGTCAGGGCGCG